GGAACAAATCTATGATGATCAATCCATAACACTCATTTTTATTGTTTGGATGAGGCATTCTTGTTTTTAGAATAAGAATGCATGTTTCTGTTAGAGGGGAAGGAAGGAGTGGAAAGAATATAATAACTCATGAATGCATTTATCATCTTCAGATGACCAGCATTGGCATTTTCTGTATATGTATGTATAGCATCTCTGTGCAGACTAATAATCACATGATGAGGTTTCATTTGATGAATTGAAATGTAATGTTGCATTTGACTACTTTAAAATGTAATTATTACCACTTCTTGGCCTTTTGGCCACTATCAAGTGTAAAATACAATTGTTATTTAACCCGCTGTTTCTTCCATACATGTATTTAATTCTTATATATTAGACATTTTCTTGTTTAATTCTCTTTTTAGGTAGACATACAAAATAAGAAATTCATCATGGCATCTTCCCATGTATATGTCATTTTCCATTGTTCTCATTTGTTCCCTTCCCCAGCTACAATGTGGCATGCAGGTAGAAAAGGGAGCAGTGGGAGTAACTCTTGCATACAAGTAGGGAGACAGAACAGGAAGATCTGGAGACAGTGAAGGGAAGAATCTACCAAAACAAAGCAGTATGAAAATGCCACGAGGAACCCTGTTCATCTGCATGCTACTGAAAGCGCAAGTGCCCGTATGCACAGACTCACACCACACCCCTCCCCACCCCCACACAAATATACAAATCAAAACAGAACTGACGCCTAATACAGATAGCTCAAGTAGAGGAAAGCTTATCATATGGCACAGTATAAAACTTAAATAACATGACAATAGAAGCTCTGTTAGTGCTCTCATTTGAGGTTATGAGGAAATGCAATAGCTAGTCGCTGGCGATTGCCCGGTGGTTTCAGTTGTCAACCATGTGAGGAGATGGGAGAGTAAGAAAGATGGAGGGCAAAAATGTCTGTATTTGTGATAAAGTTAATGTTGGAGCCAGTGGCAGGCTTGTGTCTCCAGGCAGGTTGGCTTTTGCATACTGCTCATGAAGGTCCCAGTCACAGATTGAATCATCCAAGAAGACCCTGCTTTCCATGTGAAAGCTGAATCCTAAGAGGAAGGGGAAAGGAAAGGGCCCAGTTTTGTCTTGCAAACTCATCCCAGTAGGAAGCAGAAGCTGAGAGGTGCATGCATCAAGAGGTCAGGGGATGTTAATAGGAATGGAATGCCCTCCATGTAGGAGGAAATACCAGAGGGGGGAGCACAGGTTCTCTTTGATATTTAATCAGCTGTGGCTGAGGAAAAAATGGTCACAAGGCATATGTTATTCAAGCTATGACAATAGGAGGTAAGCTTATGTATAAACTCAGTATACAGTTATTCTTGGTTCTGTTTCTTAGATATTTGAAACTCTTCCCATTCTTGAATTTTTTTCTCACGTACTAGCCTCCGTGTCTTTATGGAATTACCTTCTTGCCCACTGTCACCAGTACCTTTATTTCCTGGTACATTCCCATCTTTTCTCATTGCTATAACACAACATTCAATAAAAGCAACCCAAAGAAAGAAGGGTTTATTTGTTCATAGTTTGAGCTTATATTGTAGTCCACCATGGTGTGGAAGGCATGATGGCAGGAGCATGAGGTGGCAGGAATATGAGTTAGCAGTTACACTGCATCAAATCAGGAAGCAGAGAGAGATGAATGCACTTGTCCATATCCATCGCTTCTACGTGTTCATCATGAGCCCTACCCAATAGACTTGTGGAACCATCTTTAAGGTGTCCCAGCACCCACTTGGTGACTCTCAACTGCCACAACTCCAGTTACAGGGGCTCTTATGTCCTCTTCAGACCTCCAAGAGCACCCAAGCATGCAATGGTGCACAGGCATGCATGTAGGCAAAACACCCTTACACATATAGTAATGATGATGATGATGACTGATGATGCAGTACCTGATAGACCCTGAAAACATATACTTGGGAATTTGCTTGGCTTTCTTTTGAAAAATATAGTGTTATCATTCTTTTTCTTTTTGCGGTTTTACAAGTTAGGATTTAGAGAGTTGGTAAAAGTTATTAGTTGGTAGAAAAGAATATTAATTTGTAAATAGTGATTTTTTTAAAAATAATAACTTTTAAATTAAATAAAAAGAACACTTTTTACTTGGTCTAGCATACTTGAGTGAAAATTCAAATCCCAACAGTGGATACTGGGATTTTAATCAGAGATTTCATTCTTCTGGTCCACTCATATAATAATAATGGTTAATGACAATTTTAAGTGAAGTTTTCAAGATAAAAAAGGATAATCATTTCAAGGTTTAAAGAGAATACACAGAGGCAGCAGAAATATGAAAAATGTATCCAGTATGAGAATGTCCACTATTGTTTCTGTTAAGTCTGAGGTGGGTAGTTTTCAGCGAACCATTCATATGCCTTTCACAGCTGCTGGCTCAATAGTAACTCTTTCATGGGTTATAGGTGCATGCAGATTAACTAGTTTAAATAAACCAAGCAAGAGAGCCTTGCATGTTTATCCCCCACACTTGAAGCCTCAGGTACTAACTTGAATATTTCCTGTAACAATATGAGCATGTCTTTGAAGTAATTAAGTGTTCCAAGTATTTGGTGTCTCTTTAATCTTTTTTCCCCCTCTGATTTGATTACAAGACCCTTAAAGAGGAGAATTTTACAGTTCTTTTTTTTTTCTCTTTTGATTAAATAATAAAATAAGAGGGTCCAATTAGAATATTGCTGGTTTGGGAAGCTTTTCACTCTGTACAAAATGCTCACCATTGCTAAAATCTAACTTTCAAGTTCATTTGTCTAAATCAGAGTGGCAAATAGAACTCTGCAAAAATAGAAATGCTTTATACTCTATATTATGATTATGGCAGCCATTAGCTACAGGAGGCTACTGAGCATTCAAAACATGGCTGGTGCAGCTGAAGCGCTGAATTTAAATTTTATGAATTTTATTTAAGTGAAACTTAAGCAGCTGCATGTGGCTAGTAGCCACTCTTTGGGACACAGCATTTCTTTTCAGTTTTAGATGTAGTATTGACATGAATCTGAGAATCTGGAAGTGCTGACATCAATTTGAAACTACTTGACATGTGTAATAAACTGCTGTGAGCATCTACTGAATCTGTGTGCCTGGTATCAGAAATGTTTCCTTTGGGTTTCCTGATGTGCCTTTAGGGCAAGATGTGGCTACCTAAAATGTACCCCTACACACTTGCTAGCAGAGACCCTGCTAGTGCAAAAATAGGCTTGTTTTAACCTGAACTTCAGGCCTGGCTATGGGAAGCATGTCATATACTGTATGTAGTGGGCCTTCAGGGTGAGTGCTGCTTTAATTGGCTATGAGATTTGGCATTCCTGGACTGTGCTTTCTCAGAGGATGAGGCATAGTGAAATTCGCTTAAAGGCATTGCGTGGTATGGATAGTTTGGCCCCCTGTCACAAATTCATCCTCTCAGGTTGACCTGTCTTAGTTCTTCTAACAAATCTTTGGTGGAAAAATTGAACACATCTTCATAACTACTCAATCCTTTGCTCCTCCATGCTTTATTGAGCTGTTATGTGACAATTCTATACACTGCAATGTTTGTTTTGATGTACACACATGTTGCAGTGTTTGGATACACACATATATTGCAATATTTTGGTGCATCCATGTGTTGCAATGTTTTGATTTATGCTTGTATTGTGGAATGATTATCATCTTACAAGTTTATTGTGTGTATATTTATGTATATACTCATTTCTGTTTGTGGGTTGAGGCCAGGACCCAACCTTTGGTGTGTTGTTCTTCAGGAACTAGCTACCTTTTCGAGAGATATGGTCTTTCATGGAACTTGCCAAGTAGGTTAGGTTGGCTGATTAGTGAACCCCAGGGATCTGTCTATCTTTACCTCCCCAGCACTGGGATTAAAGGTGTCTACCATGCCTGGCTGTTCTGAGGATCAAACTCAGGTCTTTGGCATTTCATAGAATGCACTTTACCAACTGAGCCATCTCCCCAGCTCCCTCATATCAAATGCAGCATTATTAATTTTAGTCACAGTCTGTACATTGGGCCCTGGGAACTTATTTATCACATAACTGTGGGCCTCTGACCTACGCTTCTGTATTTCTTTCATTTCAGTCCTTAGGGACTAACCCTTTAATCTCAGTTTCTATAAGTGAGATCATGCAGTACTTGTCTTTTTGTGTCTGTCTGATTTTATTTATGTAATGTCTTCTAGCTTTATCTATACTGTAAACAGTAGCAGGTTATCTTCCCCAATGTCTTCTAGCTTTATCTATATTGTAAACAATAGCAGGCTATCTTCCCCTAGTAAGGCTCTGAGTCATTTTACACTGTGTGTGTGTGTGTGTGTGTGTGTGTTATGTTGAATTTTTATTATCAATTCATTCATTGTTCATCATATGAACTGATTCCAAATCATAGCTATTATGAATAGTAAGTATGACAGTGAACATTAGTATGATGGTATGTGTTTCCTATGATGAATTCATTTGGTTTTGGTATATACCAAGAATTGAGGGAGAGGGTTCATGTGGTAATTCTATTTTTAGAATTTTAAAATAACCTTCATTCTTTTTTTCCTCTGGTGTCTAGACCACTTTACTTTCTACCAACAGTATATAAGTGGTCTCCTCTCCCAAATTCTTTTCAACAATTACGAATGTTTTGACTTTGACAGCATATACCTAATAGGTGTGAGGTGATTTCCATTGTGGTTTTGATTTGTATTTCTCTGATTAGTGATGGTGAGCATTTCTTCCCATACCCACCAGCCATTTGAATGTTTTCTTTGGAAAAAATGTCTACTCATATCCCTTGTCTATTATATTAGTGGAAATGCAACTTGAAATATGAAAATGTTTCACAAACAAAGGTAGTGTTTAATATATAAAATAAATATGGAACTGATGAAAGTCACTAATGGGGACCCAAACAATATGATTTTATAATAATCAAAGGATCAACTTTTCTGTTTTTATTTTTGTAAGGTATCTTACCTTCTGGAAGGGGGCAGCATGGCCCATGAAGACTTCTGCGGGCATGTTGGTAAACTGAACCCAGGAGACCTACAGGTATGGCCATGACAGGGGATTGGTGATTGGTTAGTGGTCTTAGATGCTGTATGTTTGATCTTTCCTATTTCCAGTACATTAACCCTCCTTCTCACTTCTCTCATGCCTTGTTCTCTCCTGTCTTGGTTTCTTTTCTGTTGCTATGACAGAATACCCCAACAAAAATACCTTAAAGGAGAAAGAGTTGCTTTTAGTTCACAGTTCCTGGTGTTACCAGGGAAAACGGGGGTCTCTTGATGATTTTTAGTCTTACTGATAAAAATTAGAAAAAAAAAAGAAGACTCAAATGGGAGCTTGAGACAATTTATTAGTATTTGAGAGAAAAACAACAGTGCAGGCAAGCTGTGAAACTTAGCAGCTGTCAGTAAGACGGAGATGGAGAAGCTGAGAGAAAGTTATGTCTTTTTGAGGTAGGATCTAAGAAAGTCCACATGTTGAGCAAAATTCAGCATGTTGGCAAGCAGCTGCATGTTGTAAGGCGAGAGAAATAGTGAGAAAGTCCAGAGTGTCAGGGAAAGCATGCATAGGCTTTTGGTCAGTATCCAAATAAGAGATAGAAAGAAAGAAAAGGAGAGTTACATTTTCCGAGTTAGACTTCAGAAAGTGCGCAAGCTCAGTGGGGGAAGATCTGTACTCATTTTACCAAGGAAGGAGTTTCTGCGGTGTGTAAGTGCAGTATCTCACTAAGGGGATAGGTATTCCTTCCACCTCCTTAGCCTGTCTTCTGGTGAATTAGCATTCTTGTGGAGCGGGGTGTCTTGTGGCTGCTACATGGATTAATTGTTAAGGGGAGAGAAACAGTATGTAATGTTCCAGTCTTTAAGGAAATCAGAATGCCATGTTTCTATCCAGAGGTAGAACTCAGATACCATTCTTTTGATGAGAGGAAGTATCTTTCCCTTAGTGGGCCTCAACAAAACCCCGAAACGTCCCCTTGTCATAGAGTATTTTAAATTTTAGGAAAGGGCAAGATGGATACTTTTCTTTCTGTAGTATTACCAGGGAAAAAGGTGTTTTGGGGCCAAAGCTGACTGGCAACATCTCTCTTCGGTGTTTTCCAAGGGTCCCAATGCCAGTCTAGCTACATAACAAAGCTATAGTCAGTCATGACAGGGAAGTCAAGGCTCCAGAAGCTTGAAGCAGTTGCTCATATTACATCCATTACCAGAAACAGAGAGCAATGAATGCATGCTAGTATTCAGCTCACTCTCCATTTCTTACAGTTCAAGAATCCCTGAAAAAAATAGCCCTGCCTCAGTCAAGATGGTATTACTAGTCAGTTAACACATCAAGATAATCCCCACAGGCGGGGATTCCAGATTCTATCAAGCTGAGAGCATTAGCCATCATACCCACCTTTCTGTGTATTCTTCCATTCTGCCTGGAAACCAACACAGATCTCCCATATTCTGTTCTCATGTTTTCCTTAACCCCTCAATATCTCTTTTTCTTGTGGTGCTGGGGATCAAATGCATCTTTAAGGTATTTTTATTACTTTTATTTATTCATACGTGTATTCATGCAAGCACATGCCGTGGCACATGTATAGTCCTCAAAGGGCAACTTGGGGGAATTGGTCTTCTATCAAGTGGATCCCAAGGATTGAACTCAGCTTGTCAGGCTTGGCATGGAGTGTTTTTATCTGCTGAGCCATATCAGTTTTGTATGTCCCCAATCACTTATTAGTGCTTACCCAGTCTTTGTTTTGTTGTTGCTATTTTGTTTGCTTTGACTTTTCTCAAAGTATAATCAAGTGTTACTGTCCCAATTGTCACTTCTTCCTCAAGTCACTGAAGCCATAGTTAGTCTGTCTGCATCCTCCTCTTCAACCTGTATTGAAGCTGTTCCGGCAGTGATCATTTATGATGTCCCCACTGCCAAATTCAGCAGTTGAAGACCATTTCGATTTAGTCTTTCTAGACTTCTGTTCTGCACTTGTGACAATTCATTATCTATGTTTCAATTCATTTGCATGCTTCAATATGGTCACTTAAGTTAGTAACCCAAGGTCAGGCAAGGTGGCTCACACCTTTAATCCCAACACTCAGGAGGCAGAGGTAGGTGGATCTCTGTGAGCTCAAAACTTAGTGAGTTTCAGGGTAGCCAGGTTACATAGTAAAATCCTATTTTTTTAAAAAAGACTAACTCAAACTGTGTGCCATTGCTTTTTTATTTGTGATGGTATAATTTAAACCCCCTGAAACTGTTTAGATTATCTTGGTCAGTTGTGTAGGTAGGAGCTCTATATCAGACCACTTACATTTTTTTGTGGGATGCGAAGTGTACATATTGGATCATGGTTTTTCAATGAAAATGAAATAAAAGACAAAAGCAAAAGAAAAGTGCTATCATGAAAGAAAAGGGAACCTCATAAATATAATATAACATAAAGCAGAATTTCCTCAAAGAGACTGAGGCATGTGATGGTCATGGAATTGGTGACTTCTACTGTTTGCCACATCAGGCAGCCTTGTAGATGCTGGTCCACACTTTGACCATTTTAATTTCATAGCTGGGACCTGGGCATGGAAGCTTATGTCTATAATCCCAGAACTTGGAGATGGGGGATCAAGAGTTTAAGGACAGCCTGAGTTACATAATGAGATCCTATCTCAAAACAACCACAGTAACAATCAAAAAACAGGCTTCACATTTGCTTAGGATAATAATGGCCTAACATCTTTCAGCATCTTCAACATTTCCATCTGCATGAGCTCTTTGAGATCATTAGTATTTTACATCACAGCTTTAAATGAGAGAATAGTGATCTAAGAGTATTTAAAAGTGAAATGGTATTTGAGTTAGTTGAAAATCCTCAGAGTTAGTAAATGATGGGGATGGGAAGAGAACTATATTTTTGTCATCTAAAAGCAATGGGTGGTCTATTTTAATTATTACCAATCTATGTTTTATATAAAAGGTTAGTCAAGAGATTGAAACTATGTGAGGGGGATTTGAGTTGGCTATTGTTAAGATACATTGTACACAAGTAATAAATTGTCATAGAATAAATAAAAATACCAAGAGATGAATTTTTAGTGGAGGAGAAAAGTAGGAAGAGGTCTTTGACAAACACCAATAGCTATTGTCAGAATGGTAGTCAGCCTTGTCCAACAGAATAGAGAAAAATATATTTAGACTTAATGGAGTAAAGAAATCTCCAAACCTTACAGTGCTTTTCTTTTGGGTCCTCATACTTGTCTCAGACTCTCTTTGTCATGCTGCTGTCTCCTTTATATGGACTCTTTCTCCTGTCTCTTTCCACTACTCCGTGCTTACTCTGGCTTTTAGCCTGATGGTAGAACCCTCAGGTAAGGTACCTTAAGCCACCTGATGTACTCTGATAGAACTCTATTATTCTTCACAGGACTAGCCAAGCACAGGGATAATGATTATTTTGAGCAGTTGTGTTTAAGGGTTTTTTTTTCTCTCTTTCCAAGGACTGGGTGGAAGATGATGCTGCTTCTGAGTTTAGGTGGTGACAGTTCCCATGTATCCATACATAGCACCCTGTCTGAAGTGAATGCATTGGGCCTCTCCCAGAGGCTCTTGGTCACTGAGGGATGCCAAATGCAATCTAAATGTCCCAGTGTTTGCTGAATTCTGGGCAATAATTCTGAAGTTTATCTACAGGATTACCAGGGGGCCAAGTCCCAGGCCTCCACAGCTGGGACTTGCTCATGAGCACTCCTCTTTGCCTTTCTCCTTTGCCCATCTCACCCTTTCCTACTTCCCCCATTTTGCTTTTTGTATCTCTTTTCAAATAAACAACCTGCGTGTAGATCCTTGTTTCAGGATTTTCTATGGGGGAATCCAAGCAAAGACAAGCAGGAAATGGATGCACCATGTTCTACTCCTGGATCCTCAGAGTCTGAGGCTGGTGCTTAGAGCATGCCTCCAGTATGTTCTCAAACATATAAAGAGACAGGTGAAAAATTTGGTCAGTAGTCAGAGGCAACAACTGTTTCTCTCAGTAGTAAGGGCTCCACTACTGTAGTTGTACAACCAGAAGTACAAACTTACCATTTCCAGGGTAGTGGATGCTGAGGGCATTCCCATGTCTATTTAATCTCATATATGTGTTCTTCAGCTGCTGATAACATGTCCATCCCTTCCTGGGAATTGTACTCTGTGGCAAGAAATTGACTTTCCCAAGGTTGTGCTTCCTGCTCAGAAGCAACCCTATGATAACTCTTTGCTGATTTCAGAGTAATCCTGGACATTTATCTCAACTTTACATCTCCCTGTTTGCTTGGGTAGGCCTGTAATACAAAACTGCATTGCTGACTGCCATCTTCCTTGCCCAGTACTATTTGTTGCCCTCCCTTCTTCTTCTTCTCCTCCTCCTCCTCCAAGACAAGGTTTCTCTGTGTAACAACCCTAGCTGTCCTGGAACTTGATTTGTAGCCCAGGGTAGTTTTGAACTTTCAGAGACCCTTCTGCCTCTGCCTCATGTGTGCTGGGATTACAGGCGTTCACACCACCACTGTCCAGCAATTTTCTTATGCCAAATCATACCCCAGTGCTATCTGACTTCAACTTCTTATTTTGGAACTCCATCTGAGATTCAAGGCTATCACAGGGAGGATTCTTTCACTTGTAGGAATTCCAATTCTGATACTTTAATCTAAAATGACTAAAGCTTAGGAAAGTTGGAAGAGCCCCAGGAGCCATCACAGACATGTGTTATTTATTGAGATGTCCTTGCACTCTGACAGCAGTACCTCTTGGATGTGTCACTTTGCCACAGTGTTGTAGTTGTTTCGTGTGTAGCCTTGTTAGGGGCTGTGCTCCATTTAGCTTCTTGTTCTGGTGTTTGCAGTGGATGACTGCAGGCCGGGGCATTCTGCATGCTGAAATGCCCTGCTCAGAGGAGCCAGCCCATGGCTTACAGCTGTGGGTGAATTTGAGAAGCTCAGAAAAAATGGTGGAGCCTCAGTATCAGGAGCTGAAAAATGAAGAGATCCCGAAACCCACCAAGGATGGTGTGACAGTTGCTGTCATTTCAGGAGAAGCCTTGGGAATAAAGGTAAGTCATGCCTGTTTTGTGTTTCTGAAACATGAAGTGTATGGGGACATCAGAGAGGATCTAGATTCATTGCCAGCTCTCAGTTTATCATAGAATGTGTCCCAGTGGATGAACTTGCTTAATAGATAGGAGGGTAAGTGCAACCTAAGGGGACCCAGAATTTTTTTTGCTGTGTGCAAACTCATAAAGTTGGAATACATACAAGAATGTATGCTCATGTGAAGACTTTGATTGAAAAGCAGTCTTCTAGGTGTATTGTAATGCATGTGCAGATTTATCTGATTCTATTATTTTTAAGTCCACCTTAATATTGCAAACTCACTGCTTTTAAGACACAAAATCCAGGATCAATTTCACTCTATACAGTTTCATGCAAATAATTTATGCCCACTTAGTAAGCAAGGAAAACACATGGCAACATTACAGGCTTTTAAAATGATTTTTCTTTGTTTATTTGTATTAAAAAAGTAAAACACTCATTACAGTTCTCACAATAACATGCCTGAATTAAAAATTAAATGAAATTTTAAAAATGATAATTTTGGATAAATTATGTTTTTGAAGCATTATTGTAAATTTGAATAGGAAATAATTTATTTTGGTTATGTGTATAAGTATGTGGATACATGTAACAGAACACATATGGGTTTGAAAATGTTTGGTGGTTAGAAAATAACTTTGCATGTGTGAGTTCTCTCTGTTCACCATGTGCATTGTGGAATCAAACTCAGGCCATTAGACTCAGAGACAAATGTCCTGATACACTCACCCATCTTACTAGCCCTTCAACTTGATTTTTATAAGTTAATATATGTTAGTATTACATAAGCCTATAAAACCAGGAAAAATCTAGATATAACTTAGGATATTTGAAGATTCAAAATTACTCATGCTATAATTCATTACAATTTTTTCTTAAACCTTTAAAACTGAAACACTCACTTAGGATTTATTTGCATTTCTGTGACTGTGGTTTTTTTTTAATGAGCTGTTCCTAGACTTTTTTTTTCTGAAATGTATTAGGTAAAGTGACTCAAATATCAAAAGGTATGAAAGTAAAAGGCTTGAAATGCCATGCCTATAAACTTAGAATATGTTGTAAACCTGAAAAAATTAATTGTCTGAAATCCCTAGCCTTATTTTCTCTGTGGTTACAGGTCTGAAATCAGAAAAAAAAAATCACTACTATAAATGTGCAGAATAAATATAGATAATAACATTGGTAATGTCTTTAAATTAGCAATTCACAGATCCCATGAATATGATTTATGGAGCTATGCTTCTCAGATAACACTCACATATGCTGCAGACATACAAGAACAACTACAATCACAATGATTTAGGGTGGAGGATTTTGAGCAGAAGGCCAACATAATTTTCTAGAATTAAAGGCCATTCGTAGCCACACAAGTGAGACCCTGGCTCAAAAATCTAAAGGAAACAGATAGGAGAAAGAGGTCTGTGTGTGTGTGTGTGTGTGTGTGTGTGTGTGTGTGTGTGTATGTGTGTGTGTGTAACAAGTGAAGGAGCTATGTAGCAAGAATGTTGCGTCTTTAAAGAAAGAAATTAAAGAAGATAGCAGAAAATGGAAAGATCTCCCATGTTCTTGGATAGGTAGGATAAATATAGTAAAAATGGTAATCTTGCCAAAAGCAATCTACAGATTCAGTGCAATCCCCATTACAATCCCAGTAGAATTCTTCACTGACCTTGAAAGGATAATACTCAACTTTATATGGAAAAACAAAAGACCCAGGATAGCCAAAACAGCCCTGTACAATATAGAAACTTCAGGAGGCTTAGCATCCCCAATGTCAAGCTCTACTATAGAGCTATAGTCCTGAAAACAGCTTGGTATCAACACAAAAATAGACAGGTAGACGAATGGAATCAAACCAAAAATCCTGATATTAACCCACACACCTACGAACACCTCATTTTTAACAAAACATCTAAAATTATTCAGTGGAAGGAGGAAAGCATCTTCAACAAATGGTGCTGGCACAATTGGATGATAGTGTGTAGATAGACCCATGTCTATCGCCATGCACAAAACTTAAGTCCAAATAGATCAAGGACCTCAACATAAATCCAGCCACACTGAACCTCTTAGAAGAGAAAGTAGGATGTACCCTTGAACAAATTGGTACAGGAGACCGCTTCCTGAACACAACACCAGTAGCACAGACACTGAAATCGACAATTAATAAATGGGACCTCCTGGAACTGAGGAGCTTCTGTAAGGCAAAGGACATAGTTGACAAGACCAAATGGCAGCCTACAGATTTGGAAAAGATCTTCACCAATCCCACATCTGACAGAGGGCTGATCTCCAAAATTCACAAAGAACTCAAGAAACTATTCAACAAAACACCATATAACCCTATTAAAAAATGGGGCACAGAAGTGAAGAGAGAATTCTCAATGGCTGAAAGACACTTAAGAAAGTGCTCAACATCCTTAGTCATCAGTGAATTGCAAATCAAAACAACTGAGATATCATCTTACTCCTGTCAGAATGGCTAAAATTAGAAACACCAGTGATGACTTATGCTGGGGAGGATGTGGAGAAAGGGGAACACTCCTCCACTGCTGGTGGGAGTGCAAACTTGTACAGCCATTTTGGAGATTAGTATGGCGGTTCATCAGGAAAATGGGAATCAGTCTACCACAGGACCCAGCAATTCCACTCTTAGGCATATATCCAAATAATCCACATCCATACAACAAAGACATCTGTTCAACTATGTTCATAGCAGCATTATTTGTCATAGCCAGAACCTGAAGCAACCTAGATGCCCTTCAGCTGAAGAATGGATAAAGAAGATGTGGTATATTTACACAATGGAATACTTCTCAGCGGGAGAAAAAACAAAACACCAACAAACAAACAAAAAATAATGGAATCTTGAAATTTGCAGGCAAATGGATGGAACTTGAAGAAACCATTCTGAGGTAACCCAGTCACAAAAAGAGAAACATGATATGTACTTACTCATATATGGATTTTAGACATAGAACAAAGGATCACCAGCCTATAATTCACACTTCCAGAGAAACTAGGATGCAAGGAGTAACCTAAGAGATTCATACAAGATCCCTCACAGAAGGGGAAAGGAACAAGATCTCCTGAGAGTATTTGGAGTGTTGGGGGGTGGTGAGTGGAGAGGGAGTTAGGAGAAAATTACAGGGTTTTAAGACAAAATGAACTATTAAGGCTGGATGGCTCAGCAGTTTAGAGTACTTACTGCTCTTGCAGAGGACCTAGGTTTGGTTCCTACCACCCACACTGAAACACAACCACCTATATCTCCAACCCCAAAGGTTCTGAACCCCTTTCTTGGCCTTCATGGTTACACACTCCCAAATGCAGACACACACACTCACACACACACACACACACACAAATAAAAATACAATCTTAAAAAATCAATCAAAATTAACACTTCATTTAACTTATATGGGACATGAGCTGTATAGTTTCTTAGCAGAGATTTAGGTTTGCATTTTATTTACTTATATTTTGGGTTAGGGTCTTACTTTTTAATAAAACAAGAAAATTAATTTAGGAAGCATCGTAGCAATTGCCCACTGGAACAATTTTCTGGGAAGGCTAAGGATCCACACAGCAGATACTCTATGGTAATGGTGAACTTGGTCACAGATGATAGTAGTTGGCTTTGCCTAGAAGCTGACCTTGAAATGCAGATTCATGTACACTTGGTCTTAAAGGAAGTACTGCTAGGGGAAAAGTAAAGAGAACCTGCATGAAGCAGGAAGGATGCTAAGCAGTGTCACTGTCTCAGGCAAAGGCTGGAGTAGAGGAGCTTTAACCAGACTCCATTGGGAACTTGTTAGGGTCAGCATGTTGCAGAGTTGTTCTGACCCAATCCAGGCAAGACAGTAGGGTTTTTATACCCCCTCAACTAAAAGTCATTCATTTGGCCTTTGATTCTAGAGTGGAGGGTAGAAGTAGTCAAGGGAATCTGTTAGGGGGGTCTGGAGATGTGGCACCTGGCAATGAAAACATCAGAATATTATCAACTGCTTTGCTATTCTCCCAGTGACCAACTAGCACTTGAGACCATTTTAACTAGTAACTTAAGTGTTATAGTCTCATCTCAGTTGCTGTGGTGAAACACACTGACCAAGATCAACTTACAGGAAGAAAGGGTTTATTTCAGTTTATAGATCACTGAAGGAAATCAGGAAAGGAAATCAAGCAACAACTTAGTGCGGAAACTGTGGGGGAACATTGTTTGCTAGCTTCCTCAGGGTCATGCTTAGCTATGTTCTTTACATGGCCCAGGACTGTCTTTCTAGGGAATGGTGTTGCCTATGGTGGGCTGGACCCTTCTTCATCAATTAACAATGAAGACATTCTCCCACATCCATGCTTACAGACCAAAGTGATTCAGGCAGTTCCTCAGTTGAGCTTCCCTTCTTGGATGACACTAGGACATGATGGTTACAGCTAACTATGACATTAGGTAATTTTTAATTATTTTATGCACATGTGAAAATAATGGCATGTCAGTCGCTAATGAATAGTGACTCAATGACAAACATTGCATAATTACCAAATGGGTTTGGATTATTGCCTTGGACTCACTATTTTTGTTTACCCTTCATTGTAACTATAATTCTGTATTTAAAACACACATTAGTATATATTTGCTTTTATTTGTGTTTTAAGTGCACATAGAAATAATTGAAGGATAAAATATGTTTGCTTACAGTTTAGCATATTTGACCATTGTTCACCACCCTTTAGTGTAGCTGGAAGTGGCCTTTCTTTGTATTTCTGTGACAGATTTGTTTCTATTCACCAAGCATGAAGCCTTCACTTTTCAGCGTTTTTGAAGTTTTCCCAACTTCATTCTGCTGAGGAGAGTTAAGACCTTGTGCTTGTGAATTCTTCTGATGAAAGGCCAGAGAACATCACTATCAGGTGCACCAGACAGGCATACAAGTGAAACTGCCAACCTTTCTCATTATGT